GGCTCTGATTACCAAGTGTCACATGATCGAATGTGTCGAGGAAAGGTTGCTCAATGTTGCACTCTCAATCAGTACAAGGGGCTTTTATACTTCCAGATTACATCAGGTAACCATGATTATCCTATCCAAAAGGAATAGACCCTTCTAGAAATAGAATCACCCTGCGTATAGCCACGCGAGGCTATTGGCTTTAAGGGATTACGGCAGGATTACGCTAGATATAGCGCGCCAGTACATCCCGAGCCTGGTCGGTGATATAATTATATTAACATGATAAACCAAAGGATAATGGAAAATGAGGAATAGGAAACCAAATGAGATGAGATAAATACCAAATGAATGAGGATAAAAAGAGGAATGAAATAGAAAGGAAATATGGAAAGGGGAAAATAGTGTAACGGGGTCGTACTCTCACACCGCGCGGTCCGGGGACGGGGGCAGGGCCCCAAACGACCAGGTGCAGGGTCTGAAGCGGGGCAGTAGCCGTGCGCAGCGAGGAGGAGTGTGGGGCACGGCGAAGCCGGCCCTCGACACAAGGCGTGCACGGTGGCGCAGTCAAGGGAGGAAGGGCGGGGAGTGACGCAGGGAGACCTAAGACAAGGCCGTGCTGGGACATGTGACGCAGACGAGGGAGAGCAGGGTGACCTAAGCGGTGGTGCCACAGAAGGGACGGGTGAGTGAGGGAACGACACGAGCAAGCTGCAGCAACCTGGGAGGATGCACCAACCGGAGGGGAAGCGGTGTCTAGGGTAAACAGACCGGACACCGGGTCCCGGGGGAACGTCGCAAGGGGGGAACCTGAGACAGCCTGAGAACAGACAGCGAACCGCTCGTGCCCGGGGAACGTGGTGGTGACGCCGAGGTCCTGGAGACAGCCGACACCAACCAGGTTCCTCGAGAATGAGGGAACGTGGAGGCCTGTAAGGGAGCCCGAGGGAACTGCTGGATAGGGAAGGGACGTAGAACTGCGAGCGACGACAGGACCCGCAGAGGGGTCAGCGAGAGAGATGATAGCTGGCGTAGCAAGCGGCGTGAGCGCGGAACGGTCGCAGAAGAAGCAGGCAGAAGCACCGGAGTCGAGAGTGAAGGACAGCGCCGCAGTGGCGGGGGCAGGGAACGGAGCCAGTGCAGAGTTGAGGCTAGACAAACTAGGCAGTCCTACGCCTGACGCAGCAGGGGAGGCTAGGCTACACAACGGTGCAACACCTAAACTAGAGAACACAGGGTAATAAGATCCAGCAACACTAGCAGCATTAGAATACAAGGCATGCAAAGCAGCACCTATCTGATCCATGTCTAACTCAAAGATCGGCACGCCCTAGCGGAGCAGGCTGTGCCAGTCAGGGAGGTCCGGGGCCGGGCCAAAGCGACGACGAAACAGATCGTCGAGGTGGCGGAAATTGCGGGCAGTCAGGTGCGGGCGGCGGCACAGAGTGCCGCGAAGGGGCCCGGTCTGAAGCTGGTACTGACAGGTGACAGCACCGGAGCCGCTGGTAGACGCCAAGCTGCGCGGGCCGCCACCACTGCCACCACCTCCGGAGGTGCCGGGCCAACCAGGCGGGAGGCGAGCCCACTGCTGCGGGGGCTGCGGCTGGGACGGCGGCTGCGGCGCGGGCTACTCCTGCTGCGGCTGGGGCTGCTGCTCCTGACCACCAAGGCTAGTCCCCCCAGACGGACTACGCTCACGACCACCAACACCACTACCTGCGCCACCACCCCTACCACCCTGGCGACCACGGCCACCGCAGCGCGAGCGCTGCTGCGGGTGGACCGCAGCAGCCGTCTCAGTGAGGGGGGTCGCCGTGGCGACCACAGCCGAAACGTCAGTGAACGTGCACTGGGAGGGGGCACAGCCGTGAAAGATAGAGACCGACGGCGCACCGCTCGACTGAGCAATAGTGCGCTTGTGAGTCTCGATCTCGGTGAGGGTGTCGACAAAGGCAGTGAGAGTGAGGTCAGCCGGGTGCAGGCTAAGGAAGTGATCGCGAGCACTAGCTAGGCGGTCCGGCAGGCGCATGGCGATAAAATAGAGGGTCATGCAGAATGGGGGGGGGAGAGCAGTGAGCTGGGCAACAGTGCTGGCAGTGCGATAGCGAGTCTCTAGGGCACGCAGGTGAGTGGCAAAGTCTGCGACGGTAGGGAAAGCTGCAAGGTCCGGGAAAAGCATAGGGAAGAGCAGGCGACCAGCAGAAGCAGACGCGGGTGTGGAATAGCGGGCAATAACAGCGTCTAAGTAAGCTTTGGCCGTCTCAATAGTAGCATAACGCGAGCGCTCAGAGACAGGGAGGGCGTGGCTAATGGCAACCTGAGCGACTGCATCGCGGGAGTCCCAGACCGCGACTGGGTCCTACCGCGACTGCATCGCGCAAGCGCAGCAGTAGAGAAGGTCTCACGGTCATCAGAGGAGGGATCAGTAGGGAGGGGAGCAGGTGCGGGGGGGCGGGGGAGCAAGCCGTCGACATGGACAACCAAAGAGTGGCCATCCTGGCGCTGACCTGTAAGGTGGCGGCGGAGATCGGAGAGCCAGGCGGCGAAGTCAACCGCATGGCCCTCGCCGTCCAGTCGGAGCACGAAGTCCGCCATCGTGCAGGGGTCAGCGGCACAGCTCCAGAGGAACACAGCGACGCAGGAACACAGCGACAGCCCCCTCCAGCACGGCGGCCGCGAAGCGCCTCAGCACGGGCGAGCAGAGGAGACGGAGCCCGAGGCGGCACGGCAGGACGAGCCGGGGCGAAGGGGCCAGGCAGGTGCGGTGGGGCCAGGCAGGTGCTGGTGGGGCCAAGTAGGCGCGGCGGGGCCAGGCAGGCGCGGCGGGGCCAGGCAGGGGCGGCGGGGCCAGGAGGCGCGGCAGGGCCAGGCAGGCGCGGCGGGGCCAGGCAAGGCGCGACGGGCCAGGCAGGGGCGGCGGGGCCAGGAGGCGCGGCAGGGCCAGGCAGGCGCGGCGGGGCCAGGTAGCGCGGCAGGGCCAGGAGGCGCGGCAAGGCAAGGCAGGCGCGGCGGGGCCAGGAGGCGCGGCAGGGCCAGGCAGGCGCGGCGGGGCCAGGCAGACGCGACGGGGACAGGCAGGCGCGGCGGGGCCAGGCAGGGGCGGCGGGGCCAGGCAGGGGCGGCGGGGCCAGGAGGCGCGGCAGGGCCAGGCAGGCGCAACGGGGCCAGGTAGCGCGGTGGGGCCAGGACGGCGGGTGCTAGGAGGCACGAGGGGCCCAGGAGGGGCGCGACGGGCTAGGAGGCGCGACAGGGGCCCAGGAGGGGCGCGACAGGCTAGGAAGCGCTACAGGGGCCCAGGAGGGGCGCGACGGGCTAGGAGGCACACGGGGCCCAGGAGAGGTGCGACGGGGCCTAGGAGGCACGAGGGGCCCAGGAGGGGCACGACGGGCTAGGAGGCGCAGCAGGGGCCCCGGAGGGGCGCGACGGGCTAGGGGGCACGACATGGGCCCAGGAGGGGCGCGGCAGGTTAGGAGGCGCGACGGGGGCCCAGGAGGGGCGCGACAGGGCCTAGGAGGCGCGGCAGGGGCCCAGGAGGGGCGTGACGGGCTAGGAGGCGCGAGAGGGGCCCAGGAGGGGCGTGACGGGCTAGGAGGCGCGATAGGGGCCCAGGAGGGGCGCGACAGGGGCCTAGGTAGGGGCGGCGCGACGGGGCCTAGGTGAACGCGCGACGGGGCCTAGGTGGCGCGGCAGGGGCCCAGGAGGGACGTGACGGGCTAGGAGGCGCGATAGGGGCCCAGGAGGGGCGTGACGGGCTAGGAGGCGCGATAGGGGCGCGACGGGGCCTAGGTGGGGGCAGCGCGACGGGGCCTAGGTGAAAGCGCTACGGGGCCTAGGAGGCACGGGCGGAAGCGGTAGGTGGGGGGGGGGGGGGGGGTCGAACAGGGCCCAAAATTGGTTTTAGGCCACTCTTTGAGATCAGAGTAGGAAAAAAAAAATGCCCTGACGGTCAGAGCTAAAAAAATTATAAGTCTTATTTGGCAGGGTAAAAAAATTCGAAGTCTTTGCTTCAAGTGTAGAACTCTTTGCACCCTTTCTAGCCTTGGCCATTTAAGGAACATTTTACATGAATGAAGTGGGCTGCACTGAGGTGTGGAAAGAAGGGTGTAGCGGATTTGCGCGTGCTGGGGGAGATTGGGGGATGGGATGGGACGGAAAACGATTCTGGGGCGCGAGAGGGGAATCAGATTTACATGGGCGGCAGAGGGGCGGGAAAAAAACCATCTGCTCGTGATTGGTTGGGTGTCAGAAGGGCGTATACGACGTGACGTGTCTTGCTGTGGTGTGGAGGACTTAGCGAAAAAAAAAAAAAAAAAAAAGTAGCGGGGGTGTGGTTGGGAGGCATGTCTCTTGTGGGGGACTTAGCCATTTCTGGGTTGCGAGGGGGTGAGGGAGCTATGACTCTGGCTACGACTTAGCCGAAATTGCTGGCTTGCATGGTGCGTGGGGTGGGAGGAATGACTCTGGCTGCCAGGGACTTCGTCGAAATTTTTGGTTGCAGGGTGTTTTGGGGGAAATGTTTCTGGCCGCCAAGGACTTAGTCGGAATCTCGGAGTTTCGATACCAGGGTAGTTTTCAGGACGCCCTGAAGGGTCAGGGTTCGGGGCCCCGCAACCCTAGTTTCGGCAGGGTAATATTTTCGTAACACTTTTTGGATCAGGGTAATAAATTTCGTAAGTCTGATTTTTAAGACCAAATGAAAAAATGCCCTGAAAAATCAGGGCAATCAGGGCATTTTACCCGGCTAATTTGAGCCCTGGGGTCGAACCTACGGGTGATACCATGTCGAGAAGAAAAACTGAACAAGTGTTTAATAGAGAGAGAGAACAAGGGTATATACCTAAGAGTGTTGTACCCTCTAAGAGGTGACCCTATACAGTCTATACAAATATGAGTTATACATATATTTGACAACTGGAGGTACCTCCAGTATTACTTTCTACTTCAAGCACTTGTGTCTGTAGTGTAGATTCTATACTGTCTCCTACACCACCTTTCAAAATCTTTCATTTACAAGGAAGAGAAGTACAGCTCATAATGCTCTGGTCGTCCTTCAAGTACTCCGCTCCGCTACTACCTTGCTGGTGAACTAGCACGTGTACAATGCCAGTGCTGGAAAAATCCTTTCTCATCTCATCATAATTCCAGGGGATCTATACATTAGGGCAATTTGCTATGGATGCGCCCTTAGTGTGGCACACGTGTCACATGTTGCCAACGCATGAGTGTCTGACGTTGTATTGTATGCCCTCACAGCTCTGCTCAGTCGCAAATCTGGCCGTTTATTTAGGTGCTTGATTGCTGTCTTCCAAACTTCACAATCCATGGATCCTGCAGCACCTCTTCAGCAGACGGCCTCTGATTCGGCTCCACAGCCAGTAACCTTGTAACCAGCTCCTTTGCTTCTGGTGACACTCCCTCCCATGCACTTGAATCTATCTTCCTTACGCCTTTCTTAGCCAGGCGAGTCTGAGACCGCCTGGAGTGAGCCATGAAGGGGAGTGAACCAGACAGCAAAGAGAACAGTACCACCCCTAGAGACCACATGTCGGCTTTAAACCCATATTTACACTGTTGGAGGACTTCTGGTGCTTGGTATAATCTGCTGCCAGCAACACCTGACGCAAGCTGTCCGGGAGGGAGGGAGACTGCAGAGCCGAAATCCGCAAGCTTGACAAGGGGAAAGCACCAGGGTCGGCACGAAGCCAGGTCTTCAGCAGTTTCCGGGAAGCACAGTAGAATGTTTTCGAGCTTGAGGTCGCGGTGCAGAATCCCACTGGCATGGCACAGCTCTACAGCGCGTACAACCTGCTTGAAAATCGCCGCTGCTTTCTGCTCCTCCATCCCTCCGCTGTCTCGCGGCGACCTCAACGACCCACTTTCGCCGAACCTTCCTCCATCGCCCTCGTCCTCGGAAGAGGAGCACGATGATACGCTGGAAGCATCGGCCGAAGCGTCGTTACAGAAGCGAGCGTCGTCTGCGCCGTCATTCGCGCGGCTGCCTGCACCCGCAGCCGTTTCGCACAGCAGGTCGTACAACTCTCCGCCGTTACACTTCTCCATAACGACGAAAATCGCCGCCCTGTCCTCGAATACGTCCACGAGAGAGACCACGTGCGGGTGGCCAGCGAGCTGCTGGAGAATCTCCACCTCCCGCCGAATTGCCGCCTCTTCCGCGCGACGGTTGCGCATTTCTTCTTTCCGTATCACCTTGCAAGCGTACGTACGACCCGTACGGCGGCTGATGCACTCCCGTACGACGCCATAGCTCCCGCGACCGAGAAACTTTCCAACCGAATAAGCCGCGGAAAACTCGCGCGCGGCTTTGGGGCTCACGATGCGCTCGCCTTGGGAGGAGCGGGTGGCGGAACCAGCGGAACAAGCGGAGCCTGCGCGCCTTCCGCGCCGTTGAGCTTTGCAGTGAGGGGAGAGGAGCTCGCGAAGTAACTTAAGAGTGCGTTGATAAACTCCGCTGATATGATATTCCCGGTTTTCCGCGTCGGTTCTGCCGTGGCCTGGTGGGAAGTCCGATGGTGCCGTATGTAGCGCAATTTCCTCGACTAACGGCGAGCACGGTCGGAGGTCGTCAGCTGACGTGTCAATTGACATATGCGCGAAGCGAGAGCGGTCGAGCATCGTGCCCGTCTGAGCCTGGGAGACCACGTCTCTGGTGAATGAGGACTGAGATCCTCGCAATGAGTACCAAAAGATTACTGGATTAGTGCTGCTGAGTTTATATTCTCGGTTCTTGCGGTAGTACAGTGTGCGCCTTCTGACAGTTTACCGAAAACCAAGCTCGAGGTGTCCACGACAATTGGGACGGAAATTCTACATCTACGCCCTGAGGGGCAGTGAGACGCGTTTGTTGACCCTCACAGCCATTCTCCACCAATTCCACATCCAGCGCAAGCACACTGCCTCACTGAACTGCAAATGAGTGAGCTGTTGCGCTGTCGAACCAAATTGATCCTGGTCAAGTTGAACGTTTACATCCCACGAAGGCCGTATGCCCGTCGATGGCGGGAAACGCGCATCGGCAACTTCCTTCTTGTCCGTCGATCCTGTGGCTTTCCCTGCCAAAGATGATCCCGAAGCTGAAAGCTCCAGCCAGGACGAGGACACCATTTGTGCTGCGGTTACATCTCGATGCTGGCGAAATCAGCCAGCTGTTTCGCCCGTTCCAACGGGTCGAGGGGGACAATAAGGCTGACACAGGCTGGACGCTTCACTACACCTTTAGTCCAGTGAACCGCCCATTCATTATACGCTACGTGTCCATCTATAGGCCTATTGCTTCTAACACAAGGGCAACGGCCTAACCCACAGAGGCCTAATGATCTCTATCAGTTACAACATCTGATACATTTAGATGTCCACCCTTATATCTGCTCAGCTCGTCACCCAATCAGAAACACATACCTAAACCCCCGATATACGGGCAATGTGATATCCGTTAGTGTCCCGTCTTATACGCACAGTGCCCCGTCATCATGACGTCGGTGGACATCGTGCGGCATAGGACAACCCGTCCACAGTGGCATTTTTTCCGCCACATGACTGTGCATAGTTGTTGCAGTTACGATGCTGATATTCCGTAAACGCCTCATTTGAAACCTAGGAGTGAAACTTACGGTACGACGCACGCCCTCCTGGGGTTGAAAATGCGCCGCACGATGAGTATAGAATGGCGTAGCTGATGACAGTACCTTGACCCCAAGTTCGATGGGCCCCTATCTCTCGTCACGGTAATCCACGTCACTTAGTTAACCAGGCACTTCAAAAAGTACGCGTGCTTTTTTCGCTACCCATGTGAACATTCGCTGAATTATTCCGCATTCGTCGATTGAACATGCACCAAATATATATGTCCCAATCCAACACCAACCTTTCCAATTGCGCGGCTCGCACTGCAAACTGGGATGCGAGTGGTATGAAAGAGGCCAATCCCAGAGAATGAAATCACTCGCCACCTCCATCTCTCACTCTTCACCGCCACGCCACTATGCTGCGCGTTCACAGTCGAGCGCAGGTGTCGCTAGAGGTGAAGCGCGCAATATGCGAGCATCATACCATGTATCCCCACCTCTGCCAGAAGGACTTGGCGAGATGGTGCTACACCCGTTTCGGTCTCCTCCTCGACCGCTCCACGGTGGGGAAGATTCTGAAAGACGTCGCCCGTTGGGACGCCGACAACGCGATTGGCGCCTCACGCCGCATCCTCCAAGGTCGTTACCGGGACCTTGAGGTGCTTCTCTATCATTGGATCGAGAGCGCCGTGCCTGCCGGAGTCCCTCTCGCCATTCAAGCCAACGCCATGATTATGGCGAGGGATTTGAACAAACCCGACACCTTCAAGGTGTCGCTCGGGTGGGTCCGCAGCGCTCTCCGTCGTCTCAACATCCGCTGCATGATGCAGCACGGCGAGGCGGCAGATGCTGACTTGGGTGCTGTCACCACGTGCAAGTTCCAGTTGCCAGCACTTTTTTGCTATTACCAAATGACCCCCCGCGGCGTTTTCAACTTCGACGAAATGTGCCTGTTCATCTCGGTAGTGCCGAAGAAGAGTTGGAATCGACGCTACTGGTCTGGGCGCAAGAAAGCTAAGGAGTGTCTTACCGTCGGGATGTTGTTTAACATGGATGGTAGCACGGTTTGGCGTCCCCTCATCGTGAGCAACACGCGTCGCCCGGTTGACTTCCACCCAAACTACGACGCGTCACCTTATTGCTGCTGGCGTAGCAATGAGCGCGGATGGACGACGAGCACTGTACGTCAAAAGTACATCTGCTATGCTCTTCGTTGTCTGCATTTATGACACGCGCCATTACACCATACCCGAGCATGCTGTCCGCCCCCCCCTTAATCCTAGCTTCACACTTTTCCCGCCCTTTTCGTTCTTTCTCTGTTTATCCCGTCCCCTCCGCCGCGTCCAGCTTTTCACGCACTTCATAGAGCAGCTGAACGCGGCGATGTTTGCGGAGGGTCGTCGCGTGATAGTGCTAGTTGACAATGCCTCCTTCCACGCCCTCCAATCGCCAGACGCCGTAACGGAGGATCTTTTCGGAATCCGCACTCGAAGCCTCAGCCACCCCCGCCTCGTCTATCTCTCGCCCAACACGACAACCTTCATCCAGCCACTCGACAAAGGCATCATTGCCATGGTCAAGGCTCGCTATCGGAACATGTGGCTGGCGGAACTGGTCCGAGTATGGGGAGAGTCCAATTCCGCTTGCCGCATGTCCCGATGGTGCCCCAACATGAGGCAAGTTGTCGAATGACTCTATGACGGTAGAGATGGAGCATGTGCCGTTGCCAGCACTCCCGTGCGACACTCTCGCCGCCGACGAAGTCGACGAGGAGGAGGAGGTCGAGGACCCCGAGAGCACCGTCGCGGCCGAGATCGCAGGAGTGGGGCTGGAGATTGAGTCCCTCGCCCTCGGCCCATGCGCGATGGCGGCGGAGCAGTTTGTCGCCATCGATGACCCCCTCCCTACATGCACGGCGCCGAAGGGGGGGGGGGGACCTTCTTGCCCGCGAGCCTCGCGTGCCCGCCCCCCCCCGGCGCTTGGGACTCGCCTCCCCGTAAGGACATGGGGAGCTTCAGCGACACGGGGGATCGTGCGACGTGTCGGGCTGCGCGGGCAGTCACGGAGATGTTGGTCGGCTATGCACGCGCGACCAACATCTCCCCTTGTGACCTCCGAGTTCTCTTTGATATAAGGAACCCGATGGTCGTCAAGTGGCTGCAGCACACCAACCCCAACATGAACGCGCCGCCTCCTCGGGTAAGGCACGTTCTGCCCGCCTCCATCGTGGGCACAGAACGCCGCGCTGAGCTCATCCGCCACAGCGTGGGCGCCGTGATAGATGGCTTCCCTCCATCCGCGGAGTGGATGCGTCACATTTGAGATGTGTCGCATGGGTGTCTTCTGGAATGGCCATAATGGTTCTTAATTGACGAGAGTTATGAGGGAACATAAGTTTCCTCCTTGATTTTCCGTGCTCGCGCTGGTGTTTCATTTGTGGTGTATATATATAAGGCCTTCTATGTTTTTGCTATCTCTTGCTGTGTAATGTCGATGGAGAGTTGGATGGAGTTGGAGAGAAGTGGTGTTGGTGCTCGGTAGTGTTTCTTGTGCCGGGTCCCTGTTCGTTGTGCACGGATTGCTAATGTTTCATATACTGAGGCGATTAGAGTGTCGAATTTTGCGATAAACTTATGTGATCGCGACAATGAACAGCGTTACTGTTTAGGAAATCGTACCCCAGACGTCGTCACCCAAGCCTACACCACTACCGCCAAATCAGTTACAATCTTGCTCGTACAAGAACCACCTTTGCCCGTGGCAAGGGCAAACAAAATGGGTGCGCGATTGAATCCCCGGCACCCTGAAATCTTGTGGAACTCTATCGTGCCTCGATTGTATTGAGACCTCCAAACGTGCAGACGGGACATTCTGAGGCGTCACACTGTTGCCCGAGGAACGTAAAAGAAACAACAATGTTCACCCGCTTTAGACTGAAAAATGTCAATTAGGTAATCAGATTGCCCTATATTGGCCCATTTCACCCGTCAAAGTTTTGCGCTCGATTCTGGAGTAGCCGTATAAAAAACAAAGGGCTTGAAAAGGAATTCATGTGCACATTTCGCCACTTGTCTTGCCCAACATGGACATCAGAAACCAACGCTACAGTAACGGTCAGCTGTCCGTAACGGGCTGGAACAGCTGTCACTGTCCGTTTCATGCGGAGGTTGCGGGGGAGAGAGGCCCCCTTCAACCTCTCCTGTGGTCAATGGCTACGGTTACTGAGAGCCCTTCTCTTGGTTCAGTTCTCAACAGAACCAACCAAATTAGCCCCTGACGGCGTCTTTTAGCGCGGTTCTCGGAGTTTCTAGAGGAAAAAAAAACTTAGTCCACACCTCAGTCCTGCGAGATCCGTCCAGTCGACAGATGTCGATAGGCACTTGGAGCGCGCTCTGAGCACGCTTGTTGAAATGTACAGAATGGGGATGGCTCGTTTGCGAGCAAAAGAAACGATTCAATACACGCTAGGGGACACCACCTCCACTATGTGTTTCTCTTTGTTTATGCTTGTAAGGAAGTCTTACAATAGTTCATTGCCTCCTCGTACCACCTGCCCGCACTTACTAAGATAGTTACCATGATGAGTGGTTTGTGTTGAAGTATATTCGACAGAGTTGAATTATACTCTAGATCCTGGCCACCCTAAACAAGTGGTTCACTTATACAGAGTTTACTCTCGATCCTGGCCAAATTTTTGCGCATTCGGAATAGACTTCATCTCAAATGTGGCGAGTTCAATTCAAAAGGCCATTTGCATTGTGTAATTGCATTTTGCTTGCTTTATTTTTCATATATGGCTTTGGAAACGTATTTATTTTTTAAATCAGGAGATTTGACATGGGGGCTTGTTGGTACATAAGGATTTATATACTATCGCATATAACAATGCAGAATATACCATACTTCGTCATAACGCGTTAGCGTTTCAATCTGTGTAGTTCACCCTTTGCGCTGATGACGAAAGCCATGTGACAGGAGATCGAGGACATGGAGTGGCATTGAATGTGCGATATCCACCGCAAACCTCAATGTCCTCAAGGTGTCCTTTTTATGTGCGACCCGTCCCTGATGCCACCCCATGATCGATCCCATGTGAGTCTGAACAGGTGTGACAGCAGGCCGATCAAGAGTGGCGCCGCGTTTCCCACGTGCGAGTTGAGGCAGGAAGTTCAAATGTCGCAAAATGAATCATGGATGGACACCACGCGTCAGGCATCGTGGAGCACAGAAACAAAGTCAAGTGGTCGAATCAAAATTTGCATGTGGAATTGGATCCTCTGCAGGATTCAATCTGTTTTTACGATTCCCTCAAGCTGGATTTCTGCCTTCTGACCGAAGGTCATGGCTGAAGACCCTACACAATCGCGCCTTGTTCAAGCTTCTCCTGCCTCCTCGTTTTACGAAAATACACTTTTTTCAGGTAACAAATTGAGTTGTTTTCACGTGTCTGATTACAGTAATCCCCGAAAACGGAATTAGGATAATAATTACTGTACCTCTTGCGGTTCGGTTTTGCTTCATGCGGAGAATTAAGGAGATTCCATAAACTACTTTGTTACACGAGTTATGCATGGCTATGGGGAAGATGCCCGTACGAACGTCAGGCGACGAACAAAGTAAGCAGCGAGGAACATCCACAGCTCGCCTGATGATAATCAGCCAGTCAACAAACGTCAACAATCAGCCTGTTGACAAACCGACTCATGCTCAGCATCTGGTTGGCGAGACTGTAGGTGGGAGAACAATAGCGGGCGAGTTTTGCAATGACGAGTGTACAAACCATTTGAACTCTATGCTGTATCTGTACAGTACTGTGAGGAAAAAGAAACGCGCTAGGGTTTGTTCCAAGTGCCTGCAGTGGCGGTCCCCTGCCCCAACTGTATCCGTGTACAGTTAGTATCCCACATTTGATTTGATTTCCGACCTGGAAGCAAAAATGACGTGAGCTTCATTTATGCCAGGCTAGCACACGCGATGTAGCATCATTGAGGAAAGTGGAGGACAAGTCACTCTCCCTTGCTGCACGCAGGGGAGACTGCAGATTTCGCGGGTGTGGTGGACTTCGGGTGTGAAAGCCAATACACTAGTTCTAGCCAAAATGCCCCGAAGGGCCAGTGCAGTCATTCAGTACAAGTCATATTCCCAGAGCACCCGGGGGGCGACGCGAGAGATTTCCCTTCTAACGAATACTGGCCGTACGATAGGGGTAACGTGGAATATGGGATTGTTTTTTGTGTACTGTGCATGGGCGGCTTGACTGGCGTATGCAGCAACTTTGTAATCATCGCCACGTCGCAAGCCTCTCCACATGTGTATGAACTCCGCGTTTCAAGCAGGTCTCTCGATAACCTAGGGGTCACCCTGCAGAATCTGAGTTTTCCCGGGATCCAACTCTTCCAGGCTAGGTAGCCCTAAAATGTTTGATTGTTTTTGCAGGCATGAGTTTCGCCCTGCTCGGAATGTGCCACTCCTGACAATGACAGGGGAGCCATTTTTTCTAGGGGTGCAAACTTCTACATTAGATTTTTCAGGGTGAGTCCATCCCCTACTCAAAAATCGGCCGTGGGATGATTTTGGCTTGCCTGTCAATGGACGAGTATCGATAATCTGAAAGTGTCAAAAGCAGGGCTATGTCAGAATTTTACCCTGTTTTCCTTGACAAAGCAGTGTAATTATCCTGACTTCCAAAGGCCTGGTTTCAAGAGAATTTCAGATTCCTTAACGCGCTCCTTAGCGCGTTCCTATTGGCTGTGAATAGACGGATTTTCCTGGGGCAACGCCGACGGATTCCGTTGGCGTTGCATGCGTAATTCTACTGGACCGTTAACGAGCTGGTGGATTTCTGCCTCGACATTGGTTGGCGAGCCTGGCACATTTGGATTTTTAGAGGCTCGCCGACCACTAGGAGTGGTCACTCTGAAAACACAAGAGCAAACTGATTGGACGGCCTTGGATCATCCGAATTGACTGTCTAATTTACTGTTCAGTTGAGACGGGTACACTTTGTGTACAAGGAGAGGCCCTTAAAGATAAAATGCATGTGGAATACTCTTGGACGTAAAAGGAGGTTGTCTACAAGACATATGATCTGTACTTACAAACACCCCGAGGGCCAGTATCCTCCCTCCCCCACCCAACACCCCAACATGTGAAGCGCATTTTTGGGCGAGGTACATGACCCCCAAGATCGAGTTCCAGGCAAGTTTCGCGGAGGCAAAATTCACGCTACAGTAATCCCATGCTTCACAGACAGTCGCACCCCATCACTAGGGTTGCAATGCGAAATTTTTGGCACCTCCAACCGCATGCAACCCTGGGGCATATTTGCCTCTAAGGGTTGCCTGCTTCTGGTACATGAGGGTTGCAGGAAACCCCCAAGCCTCCAATTCATGGCCGGCACTAGCTGCATAGCCGTGAGGGCCGACCTTTTGGCCGCAAACCCCCAAAACGGGGTCGTGTACCACGCCCTTGGAAAGAATGAGCCCTCGTAACCTTTCGGTGCCCGACTGCAAGCCAGAATAAAAACACCACACCTTTTGTCACCACCTTTCAATTTCTCCCTTAGCCACAGAACAAACGCCTCCTAAATTCTGATCTGATGCCTGCAGTGGAATACTGTAGGGCTATTCCATCACGTCATCGGGTGTGAATTCATGATTAGATCAAAGAGCGAGAGATTCGCACGAGCTTCCCAAATCGCGATGACAATGTCGAGCTCGTCATTTCGCATGCTTCGCCACGGGCAAATGGGACAGAAACGTGGAATTTGTAACAAGATATTTGTGTCTGGTCAATAAACAGAGGTCCCAACCGGCAATTTTGTTGTCATTTCGTTCCGCCCTCCATGAACGTGTGTTGGATTCGGTAGCTGTGCGTTGTAGATGTGATTGTGTTCGTTATCCCATTGCCCCTAAATCCGAGGTTTTTGGAAGTGTTTCTGATTGGGATAAGCGCTGCGTAGGAGATTGGGTGAGCATCGACTGTATTAGCCAGGGAAGCGAATTCTGCGAAACTGGATGGCACGATTACATTGCGGGCAACGAAACGTCCACGAAAGGACTCCGCGCGCGTGGCGCACAGCTCCAAGCGCGGAGGCTCGTCCTTGCTCCGCCAGCCCAGCCTAGTCCAGTCCATTCAACACGCAGAGCAGGCCATTCGCGGAGCAGTCCTGACTGCCTCCCCAATTGCGCAACCTCGTGGGGAGCCCTCAAACCTCAAACCCAAACCACGCTTTCCGATTGGCCGCCTCAACCGTCCACCGCATTTACCACATCTGCAAAGCTGGTTCGGTGATGCTGCATTGCTGGTGTGTCCAGTTTGTACCAGCTGGAGAATCCAAACTAGAACACATCATCCTCCCCGAACCGCCGAAGCAGCCCCCCCGCGTCGAAACCGAGCCGAATCGAAACCGAGCCGAATCGAAACCGAGCCAAACTCATGCCTAACCAATCCATCTCGAAACCGAACCAAGTCCTGGCCAAATGATTCACAAACGCAGCTTGATTGAATGCGCGCCTGTCGCCTCATGATGATTCAACAGGTCCACCCCCCTCGAGCTAACCCATTCAGCGCAGCCAGCCACCCCCTCAACCAACTCAACTCCCCCTGCTTCCCTGTTCACATGGCTGCCGGAAATTCCCGAGCTGTGAGCGTCCTGCTGTGGTAGTAGTACCTGATTTATAATACCACCTGCCTGCTTCAGTCATTTCGTCTCACGCGAATCACAGTCTAGTCACATTCGAGAGCCTTTCAGACGTCGAGCACCCTTGGTCGCGGAACCACTACTACCTTCCCTAACTTCTCACGAGTTATCAACTCGAATCCCGTCTCGATCCGCCATGGCTTCTGCCCCGCCGCTCGTTGTGGACTCGGACTGGGAGAATTTCCTCGAAACCTGCAGCACGGAGGAGCTCTCGTCCTTTTTGGAAAAATTAAGGTCCAACAACAGCAACGGAGCCCCTCAACTCGCCGCCATGCCAGGTAAAACGCCTGAAACCCTAATGCTGGGAATGCTCACCGCGTTTCTTCCGGTTTCCCAACTTACGAGCACGTTACTCCGAGTCGTTCGAGCATTCTGTGCGGTCGCGTTTATCATGCCGCCGGCACTCAGAACGTATTTCTCCCTCTCTCTCGGGTGTATTTTCTATTAACTACTACGAGCAGAGGGCGCGTCGCCATCGTACAGGCATTCAGGAAATCTCGAGGCAGACATCATGGCTCTAACAGCCGCCGGCACGACGCAATTCACGACGCAGCAGTCGCTGCAGGCCACCCTGCCGCTCCACAGCAACGCCGCTGGAGGCGGCGCGGCGCCGCCGTTTGGCTACCCCCGATTCGACGCTCACTCCCTCGCAGCGCGCCACATCGGCTTGACCGGCGGGAATAACTCCGCAAATAACTCCTCGGCTGACGTCATCTCCAGCAACACCTTCGGCGAAAGCTCCTTCTCCGAAAGCGGCGGCGGCGGCGGCGGAGGCGGCGATGGGAAACCGAAGAATGAGATGGCAGATTCCGGTGCGTGGGAGTCGCTGCCATGCCAGCCCCAGCCACAACCGCAGCCGCTCTCAACGCCCCTGCTCGCTGCTCACCCCCAAAGGTTCTTGGGCAGTCCACCTGCTGCCAATGCCTCACGGCTCGGACCATCCAAGCTCGGTGGTAGCGGCCCTGCTTCTGCTGCTGCTGCTGCTGCTGCTTCGGGTGCTGCCGCCAACGCCGCCGCTACAGCCGGCGGTAGGCGGGCGTGCGGGTCAAACAGCAACGAGCGGGCGGTGCAAGCGGGCGGCGCGGAAAGCGGCGGGGCGGCGGAACCGGACGGCGAGGCGGTGGTGCAGGCGACGGCGTCGGGCGGCGGCTGCGGGCGGGCGGGGAGCGACGGCAGCACGGAGAAAGAGGAGCAGGGGGGGCAGAGAGACCAAGGAGAGGGCGAGGAGCATGCTGAAAGCTCTGACGAAATGGACGGAGGAGGGGAGATGGACGGAGGAGGGCTGTTGGAGCTTGGAGGGCAGCGCAACGGTCGGCGGCATGCGAGGGACGGCGGGCTGGGAGTGAAGGTGGAGAAGCGGCAAATCAAGATGAAGAGCCACGTGGAGAGCCAGCGGCGCAAGCGGATCAGCGATGGGCTGAAGCGGCTACGGGACTCAGTGAAGGGCACCGGCGACACTGCTACGATGCTGGATGAGGCTGTTTCCTACGTGGAGTCACTCAAGGTAATCCATTTCTCTTTAATCAAGCTACCATCTATGCTACATTCTATCCTCCTCCTCACTCCTTCCATAGCATAGGCACTACAATGCCGGACTGACCGGACAGCTAACATGCTGCTGCCATCTCCTTTCTTGGAACCTCTTCTGATCATTTTCCTCTCTCCCTTGTCTCCGAACCCCCACTCCCATTCCCATGAGCAGCAACAAGTGACGGCTCTTCAAGTGTCACTCCTCCTCAAGGACACCACACGGCCTCAGCTCGGTGGTACACCACCATCCCTCGGCGCCGACTCAGCGCTCCTAGCACAAGCCCTCCAGCAACACTCCGCCCTCGGCCTGCCCTTCTCCCTGCCAGCCAACCAGCAGCTGCCACATCAGCATCAGCAGCAGCAGCAGCAACAGCAGCAGCAACTACAGCAGCTGCAGCAGCAGGCAAGTCCAGGTGCACTCCAGGCTCGGCCGTACCCAAACCTGTCCCGGTACACAGGTCAGGAGCAAGGGGCGACGGTGTCTGCTGGTGCGGCGACGACTCTGCTGCCGCGTGCGGGGTGGTCTAAGAGGCTAGTGGAAACTTCGACCGGTGGCAGCTGCAACTCAGGAAGATTCGGCTCGTGCTGACAGCAGCACCCATTGTTTTGCCCTGTTTTTGTACTCTTAAAGTGAGAGGCTAAAATAATGACCCCCCTTCAAGTTGGACCCAACTCGTAATAGTTCGGCTAAAGAGTGTTGGTTGGAACTTGCGAGACAATTATTTTTGTTGGGGGGCCACCAGGCCCCCAAATTGGTTTTGGAGGTGTCTGATTCATCAGACTTGCCTCCCATCCCATCCCTTGGTATGGCCATCAGACCTCTGAAAAAAAGTCTGAAAAATCAGAGTAACAATATATTTTGTCTGATAAATCAGAATCACTAATTTGTTTTACGCTGATTTTTAAACTGTTGTACACAACACGTCTATAAATGTCCTGCATAACCTCCTCAGCCTCGTCCACCGAGCACTTCCCTAATGACCTCTTACTACTTGGGCTTGGCATGCCAAGAGCTCTCTTAGAGTAATTCCGCACCTCGGGTCTGACCCGAGGCTGACCCGCGGCTGCAGGAGCCGCGGGGTTTGCAGACCCAACTTTGGGTCTTGTGATTTTGACACGAGCTCCAGAATGCTCCCTTATTCTGCCCTAGCTGTCTGTGTGCTGGCGAAATCGCAGAATTTCGCGCCACCCAAGACCCGGCTCGCGCTACGAGTGTGTTTAGAGTGAAATCTATCAGAATTAGAATTGAATGATGGTAAAGTGAGAGTACACACAAATATACCTAAGTGTTGTACCCTCTAAGAGGTAACCCTATACAGTCTATACAAACATGACAAATACACATGTTTGACGCCCCCCCTAGACTGCATAGGGGAATACCCTAAACAAGCAGCACCGGGCGGCACTACTAGTCCAACCTCTGAGACAAGGGTCTGAGAGACCAGTCAGAAGGAGTACAGACAAGGCAAGAACAAGACCAGGGCGGCACTACTAGTCCAGCCACTGGGAGAGGACACAAGTCTAGTCTGAGTATACATATAGAGGACAGTACAAGTCAAGGTCCTAGCAAGTGAGAGGCGACAGGAACTAGACCAAGCTGTACACAGTGCCGCTGATGATCTTTAGGCGCAAGCGCCTTCGTAAAGATATCAGCTGTGTTGGCACCTGAGGCCAAGTGTACTACGCGAGCCTGACGTCGCTGCTGTAGCTCACGCAGGAGGAAGTACCGCAGCTGAATGTGCTTCGCTCTGCCCTCGAGTCGAGGCTCCTGACACAGGAGGATCATGGCCCTGTTGTCAGCGAACATGACCGGGGCAGAGCTAGGCCGCTCACCTAAGTCAGTGAGCAAGAAGGCCAGCCAGCGGAGCTCCTGTGCCGCCATGGCACCAGCGTAGATCTCAGCCTCACAGCTGGACTGCGCAACAGACGAGGAGCGGGTAGCTCTCCACGAGACGGCACCTGAGCCAAGGCTGAAGCAGTAGCCCTGGGTAGACCTGAGTGTCTCAGCGTCGTCTGCCCACGAAGCGTCTGTGTGTCCAGTAAGGACCACTGGCCTGCGTCCTCCAAGCACTAACCCCATGCCCCATGTACTAGCAAGATAACGCAGAACCCTCTTAGCGGCAGACCAGTGCTGCGGTCGGTGTCTGCCTGTGGCCACAAAGCGCGCCAGGATGCTGAGAGGGTATGCGAGATCTGGGCGAGTGCAAGTCATCAGGTACATGAGGCAACCCACCCGCTCTGCGTAGGAGCCGCTGGGCTCTACCAACTCCTCAGGTACTGGAGCAGAGAGTCTGTGGTCTACAGGCAGAGGGGTGGGCTGTGCAGAGGAGAACTGAAGGCTGAACCTCTGAAGGACCTGTCGCAAGTCTGACTGAGTCAGGGTGATGGTGCGCGCAGCTCTGTCCCTGGAGATCTGCAAGCCAAGGTAATGGCGCAGTTCTCCAAGGTCAGTGCAGGTGTGTCTCTTCAGCAGCTCTGCCTTCACGGAGGCCAGTGCGTCCCTGTCTGCTGTGGCAAAGACCAGGTCGTCGACGTAAACAAGGATGTAGAACGGAGTCTGGCCAGCACGAACGAAGAGTGAAGGGTCTGCGGAAGACGGAAAGAACTGCATGTCAGCAAGGGTAGCACGGAGAGTGTCGTGCCACTCACGGGGAGCCTGGCGCAGGCCGTAGACGGGGCACCGCAGGAGCCACTGGGTCCCAGGAGGGAAGGTGCCAGTAAAGCCCGGAGGGCGACGTAGGTAGACCTGCTCGTGTAGGCTGTCCTGAAGGAAGGCAGTGGAGAAGTCGAGGGAGTGAAGCTCGTAGTCACGCTGAGCAGCTAGGTGTAACAGAACCCGAAGAGTAGTCATCTTCGGGGTCGGAGCGAAAGTCTGGAAGAAGTCCACCCCCTCGCGCTGACTGAAGCCTCTAGCCACATAGCGCGCCTTGAAGACAGGCGGCTCTCCAGGAAGGCGCTTCACCTTGAAGAGCCAGCGGCCATCGACTACGTTCACCCCAGGTGGGGGAACTGCGTCGACGAAGGTGCCGGTGGATCTCCAAGATGCCATCTCCTGCTCCATGGCAGCTATCCACTGCGAGGCCCAGGGTCCCGAGGTCGCCTCAGCGTAAGTGCGAGGGGTCGGGATGTCGAAAGCGTCTGGGTCACCCTCAGGGACGTCACGAGAGTGAAAGAAGCGGCGAGACGGCGGGTGGTAAAAGTGCCAGTCGGACGCGTCAAGGGGAAAACCGAGGAAGACGCAGGGAAGGGTGCGGGCAGTGAGCTTGTCCGTGCCGGAGGCACGGACGTGAGCAAGGCAGCCCCAGACGTGGAACGCAGACGCGTCACCAGGAGACCCAGTCCAAAGACGGGTCGGCGAAACCTGCGGCTGCTGAGGGTGCGGCCACAGGTTAAGCTGGTGAGAAGCGTAGCGCACAGCGAACGGCCACAGAAAATGGGGTGCACCGGCATGGATCATGGAGGTGCGAGCGACCTCCATGCCTAAACCGATGCGTCGCTCAGCGACCCCATTCTGCTGTGGGGAGTCCGGTAGGGTGAACGTCTGGGTGATGCCCTCCGCACGACAAAAGCGACCAAGGACACCTGAGGCAAACTCGCCACCACGGTCTGAGTGAAGACGCAAGACAGGGAGACCGCGGTGGACACGCGCAGAGACAAGCCAGGGGATGAGAGCGCCAGGCACGTCGGCCTTGCGCTCCAGGGGAAAGATTGTGGTGTAACGAGTGAAGTCGTCGACAAGCACAAGGAAGTAGCGCTCTCGACGCGGCCCAGGGACGGGGGTGGGGCCCCAGACGTCCAGGTGCAGGGTCTGCAGCGGCGCGGCGGTAGGGGGAAACGAGGAGGAGTGAGGAGCACGGCGAAACCGACCCTCGACACAAGGCGTGCAAGGTGGGGCTGGAGAGGAGGGAAACGCGGGGAGGGAACCTGGGAGACCAAGGATGAGACCGTGCTAAGACATGTGACGCAGACGCGGGAGCGCAGGGTGACCTAGGCGGTGGTGCCACAGGAGGGTCGGGTGAGTGAGGGAGCGACAGGAGCAGGCAGCAGCAACCTGGGTAGACGCAGCCACCTGTGGGGGCGCTCCAGCCGGGGGGGTCACGGTGTCCAGAGTGAATAGGCCGGACACCGGGTCCCGGGGGAACGTGGACAGGGGGGCACCTGTGGCGGCCTCGGTACAGACAGCATACCGCTCGTGGCCAGGGAACGTAGTGGTGACGCCAAGGTCCTGGAGGCGGCCGACACCAACTAGGTTCCTGGAGAACGAGGGGATATGCAGACCTGTAAGAGAACCCGAAGGAACCGCCGGACAGGGAAGGGTGGTGGAACTGCGGGCGACTACCGGACCGCCGGAGGGGTCAGCAAGAGAAACGGCAGCAGGAACAGGAAGCGGCGTCAGGGTGGTGGAGTCGCGGAAGAAACACCGAGAGGCGCCAGAGTCCAAGGTGAAGGAAAGCGAAGCCGAGGGGTCTGGCGACGGAACGACGGCGGAAGCACCAAGACTACACAAAGCAGGGGATCCTACGCCTGACGCAGCAGGGGAGGCTAAGCTAGGCACACTTACACTAGGCAACAGTGAGTAATAAGCGGGAAGCACACTAGAGTCATCAGCATACATTACATGCAGAGCGGAAACAATGGCATCCATGTCCATATCAAAAATCTGAATCTGACGACTAAGCAAACTGTGCCAGTCCGGGAGGTCTGGCGACGGGCCGAAGCGCTGACGAAAGAGGTCGTCCAGGCGACGAAAACAGCGGGGAGTGGAGTGACCGATCTTACCGCAAACGAAGCCGCGGCGAGGACCGGTCTGGATCTGGTACTGACAACGCCCGCCGCCAGAGCCACCACGCGGCACACCACCACGCGCCCGGCCACCGCCAGCGCCGGGCCACCCTGGCGGGACGACACTCGTCTGCCGCGGCTGCAACGGCTGCTGCGGCTGCTGCGAAGGCTGCGACTGCGGCGGCTGCTGCGGCTGCTGCAACTGCAGGGGCGGCGACTCAGCTGGACTGGGCAGGGTCCCCTCGTCCGCCGCCTCCTCCGCCGCGCCCAGCCTTGGGGCGGCGGCCCTTCCCCAAACGGACCTGCGCTGCAGCAGCAGTCTCAGCCACTGCGCCTGAGCGGGGGCACAACCCTGAAAGATAGGGACCGGCACGACACCGCTCGCCTGGGCGATGGAGCGGTGACAGGTCTCTATCACAGTCAGGGTGTCTACAAAGTCAGTGAGGGTGAGGCTTGCGGGGTGAACGCTAAGAAAGCGGTCGCGGGCGACAGCAAGGCGGTCAGGGAGGCGGGTGGCAAGCAGGTAGAGGGTAGAGGTAATGGGCGGCTGGTGGGCTCTAAGCTGGGCGTCAGTGCACGCAGCGCGCCAGGTCTCCTCTATCGAGCGCAGGTGGGCAGCGAGGTCAGAGACAGTGGGGAAAGATGCAAGGTCAGGAAAGAGCATCGGAAGGATCAGGCGACCCACCGAGGCAGCCGGAGGGGTGGAATAGCGCTAGATCACAGCATCTAAGTATGCCTGAGCAGTAGTGAGGGACCTAAAGCGAGGACGCTCGGATGGGGGAAGGGCGTTGCTAATGGCAAGCTGGGCAACAGCATTGCGAGAAAGCCAGACAGAGCGCGCACGGGCAGTGGCAGCAGTAGACTCACGCTCAGTGGGTGTGGGGTCAGCGGGCAGAATAGCAGGGGGGTCTGGGCAGGGGAGCGTACCGTCAAGGTGTGCGGAAAGCGGTTCACCATCCTGCCGCTGGCCAGTGAGTTGGCGGCGGAGGTCGGCAAGCCACGCCTCGAACTCTAGGGGCTGACCTTCAG